TTTCAGTTCATATTTTGGGGTATTGTTATAGATTAAAAAACATCGGCTCTTTCGGGTCATCCATGCTGACCAGCGCACAGAAATGAGCTACCAAAATTACAAAAATGCCAGTTGTATTGAATCAAGAAGGAAAGGAGACGATAAAACAGCAGTCGAACTAGGAAAAGGAGAAAAAGTGTATCAAAAATGCATAAAATTGTTAAAAAACAACTTACAGAGAATTGGCCAGGCTTCGCATTCATCATCCTCGTCTTCATTACATCCAGCGGCTGAGTTAAAACAGTCGCAATTGAGGCCTGTAAAAAACTATGGATTGTCTATCCAGTTTTCAGATCTTCTATCGGTAAGATTTTGATTAGATTTTTAATAGTCATCACCGGTTAGCAAAACAGTTCTGGCAGATGCCGGCTAGTAATTGTACTGCCTCAGAACAGCTAGATCAAAAGAATTCAGACAGCTCTTTGTCCTCTGCGGAAACCTCGTTTAAAAGACTGCTCGCTAATCTTTGGATACCCTGGCCTTCTGTCGATCAAAAGTAGCAGAAACCACTGATCTGGTTTTTTTTTGGCTGCAGTAAACTGATGATTTCAGAAATAAATTCAAAATTCACAGACTACCACAAATGTTACAAACAAATTGCGCTTAGAAACTGCAAATCTGATGACACATTCCTGAGTTCCCATAGAGTACCAGTGGTTGCCGATCTTCAAAGTTGTATAAACTGTAGAGGGGCGAGACATGGATTTAACATTTCATGATATCTCAATTCTTAGTCATTAGGCATGAACTCAGAAAAAGAACTTTCGACGTGATCCACACATTACTCGGTAATCCACAGATGCAGTTCAGAACCAAACAGTGGTTGCTGCACAGAGGTTATAATTACTCTAACTTTTTTGCCTTCCAACATTTCAGTTTCAGAACATCTCAAGAACAAAATAACGCTTATCTTCATCAGGAAAAGTTCAAAAGCACTCACCGCAAGAAATGAGGAAGAGAAGTGAGTAGTTGGTGTATCTTTCATATAGCCGCTGCTAATAAGCGTTTGTTTAATTTGGTCGTAAAATGACAATTGCCCAATGGTCATGAAAACGGCTCTTGAGGTGGCCATTGCTGCTCCGTTAAAAAGTTTGGTTAAACCTTCTTCGCGAACCACTCGGAGCACGCCATCTAGAGCATGCTTGTAATTGCGTCTTTCAGCCGGCGGTAACTAAATTTCTTTGATTAAATATCACTGATAACCAAAGTCGCCCAAATTGATGGCCTGAGGCCAGCAGCTACCTGTAAAAAAATTATCAGGATCGCACCATATATAAAGTCTTAACCCCTAGCAGAATTTCACTATATATAAATATCTCTCGACCACACGTGCAAAATTTTACTGTATATTAATGATCGCTAGGAGCGCCAGGATCACCGGTGTGAGATCTCAACTAAATATTTGCAACTACTTCATCTTCATTTAATTAGTGCGGTCTACAGCTTATTCTAGTGCGTTCTACAACTTATTATTCAGTTTCACTACTAGAACAAGTGATTATTCCTTACCTTCATATCATTTTGCATGCGAACATTAACCATATCGCCAGGTGTTCCCACCCAGCCGCCGCATGCACCACTGAGCCCTGCTATTAGTGCCTTTTGATAGAACGGTATTGTTGTTGAATCTAAATAAGTCAGATAAAGAAACTTAAACATATAGTAAGCAC